CTGCCATTTACTTCCTGACAATATGCTAATCTTTGGTAGAATGTAGAAATGACTTTACGATTCGTTTCAAAAGGTATCAAAGCCATTTCATCCCTTATTCGCTGTATCAATTCGTGAATGGTTTTAGGTTTTGTTCTGTAAACCTTACTCTTCAGATATCCCCATAGATAATAATCAAGAGGAGTTAGATCTGGTGACCGAGGTGGCCAATCCTCTCCTCCCTCATTTCCGTTCCTTCTTCCTATCCACCGTAGCGGAAAAGTCTCATTTAAAATACGACGTGGTCCTGCACCAAAATGAGCAGGAGCTCCATCATGCTGAAACCATATTTCTTGGAAATTATTTGGAAAAGTATTCTGTATGGCTGGAATTATTTGATCAACAAGTAATCTCTCATACCTTTGAGCGTTCAAATATTCTTCAAAAAAAAACGGCCCTATTAAATAGCCATCTATTATTCCGCACCATACATTTATTTTTTGTGGATGTTGTGTGTGAGTTTCCCGCACCCAATTCGGATTCTCATCTGACCAGAAACGAAAATTTTGATTATTAACTTCTCCCGTTAAGGTAAAAGTTGCCTCGTCTGTGAAAACAATTTGATAAGGGAAGATGGGCCGGACATCTATTAGTGCCATCATTCTTTCACAGAAATGTATACGACGCTCCTCATCTCCGTTTTGCAATTCTTGAACGTATTGCAATTTATATGGATGGAACTTGTTCTTCTTTAAAATTCTCCAAACCGACATGGGAGCAATATCGTGAGTTTGAGCGACTCTCTGAACACTAGAATTGGGATCTTCAATAAATGTCTGCAGAACATCAAGTTGTTTTTCTTCGTTGGTTGCAGACAATGGTCTTCCTGACTTAGAGCGATTTCTTACGCTACCAGTTTGTCTAAAACGTTCTATTGTTTTTAACACAGTGGACTTATTAATTCGACGGTTCGGATACGTGTCATTAAATAATCGAACGACATCAGAGAACGATCTTTCGTTATCACCCCATCCACGCATCATGAGGATAGTGATTCTTTCACGTTCCGACAAGTCGCCAGCCATTTTTAAAACGTTTAATTTTAATTAATCGTACGTTGTATTTGGACGATAACAATTAATTTCTGCTTGCTCAAAGCTGAAGTTAGAAGGTGCTCGTTCTTTGATAGCTTTATACATTCTTAGTTGAATTTTAAATGCGAGTTAGACTGCATGTAGTGCGTCACATAGCGGTAAATGAAGGAACTAACGAGACGTTTCATACACGTTTTATGGAGCAATTTTTTGGCAATTTGACTTCAGCGAAATATGAGGATATGTTGAGGAATCGATCTTGCCTTAGTTAGCTGGATCACACACACAACAGATGCAAATCCGAGCGAGTAACCTCCATGTAGTACACCTTGGATAATGTTAATACCGGCGCTACTCTATCATTCAACCCTCATAACTCGCAAAGTACTTAATAAAAATGAACATTATTATAGTGTTTTGGAAAGCTCTTGAATTAAGCTATAAGAATATGCAATCAAATGTAGGGGGTGTCATTTAAAAAAGTCAATGTGACCTTGACCTGACCTTGACGACGCCATCCAAGGTCAAACTGATAGAATCAGTATATAGATCTTCTTAAACCCTACAACTTTTGTTGGAAACACTTTTCTGTAAAACGTATATTTTCCGAGATATTTAGGGGTTTCCACACTTTTGGTAGACCCTGTATAGTTATGATTATATATACAATATATTTATTATAATTTACATATTACGTAAATCTAGAAATGTTCTCTTTTTTAACATGTTTTGTTTATGGCAGACATTTGACATTAATAATGTTAGTAAATATTTCGTTAAAAAAGATGTAGAAAATATTCTTCGCAAACGTTCGCTTATATACTATCAACAAATACGTCAAAGATATTTAAAAATTCCTAGAATATGTCGAATTTTGTGACACAAAGTAATAATACAAAAGCTTTCCGAATATCAAGAAGAACATTAGCAAAAAGAGATAGCCTTACAAATAAAAATCTAGAAGAAGTCTAGAAATTTTAAATTGATAGATGTAAATGAATGAGACAGTATGTTATTTCTAGCAATTTATTTTGTATACAAATAGTTATAGTTTGGAAAGACAACGTTTCTAAATCTATGTTTATGTGAGATTCTTTTATTTTCATTCATATGATAAACAGAATATGTTTCTAAACTTGTTTCGTTTTTTTATCATTTTTAATTATATATGTACATATATGTATAAGTTATTTTATTATTTTAATAATATTAATAATATATTCCCAATTTTGTAGATGTGAGGCGAGGGTAAACTTTAATTCGAAAAGTTAACATTCATGTTCTGCGTATTATTGTAAAGAGTACATCTGTAATATTGATAAAGTTCCTTAAGATTATTATAAAACCTTACTCTCAACTCTAAATTATTTAGACAACGCATGATATTATGCATGATTAATTTTTATGATATATTTTAATAAATAAGATGAAGTAAGATATATACACGTATCATAAATGTAATAATGTAAATATATAATTTTGTTAAGATCATTTTTTCACATTTGTAAATTTTGAGATCTGCAAAATTGTGTGATATTAATAAATAAAAATATTTCAAATAATTTTAATAAGAGAATAAAAGTAAATTACTTCAAACGACGTAGTAATTTACTTTTTCTGATTTATTATACACATTTATTTTTGTAATATTAGTATAACACAATTTTATTTTTCTCAAAATGTAAAAAATAATAATAAAATAATTCTCAATCTTCATCTAACAAAGAACATCATTATTTCTTTAAATTTAAATTTAACATTGATTTTAGAAGTTATAGGAATCGTATAAATAATTAATTAATTATAAGTATAAATTAATTATTAAAAATATATATGTGTAATTAATTTAATATATAAAATATATTTAACTATTGTATTTATTACATAAATTTACAGGCATAACATATAAAGAGCTATTTAATCATAATTAGATATTATTAAGTAATTGCTGTAAAACATATTCTTTATAATATTACATATAATATTTTTATTTATGTAATATTATTTTACTTATAATATTATACAATATTAAATATTATATTAATATAATTATAATGTATTTTTAAAATGTAATTTTTATGGAACAATATATTTAGCAATATTGACAATATATTTAAAAATACACGATCAATATATGCACAAATGTATGTAAACGTCGTATTGTAAATGTTCCATATTTTGTATTAATTAATATATACATATTATATACATTGCGAATATTAATTCATACATAATACGATTTTTGGCAAGACTTTTTTACATTTGATAAGTATGATTTTATTTTACAAGTGATTTTAAATCGATACACTATTTCTTGAGACATAAAAATAAGAATAATGTAACCATATAAATATGAGTATCATTATAAACATATAATGTTTAAGAAATAAATGATTGAAATATATAAAAGAGTATTCCAACTTGGCATACACAGATTTAAAAAAATTTATATAATTGTGAAACGTAAATCTAGAAACGTTTTCTTTTTAATATATTTTGTTTATGTTAAAATTTAGCGTTAATAACATTAATAAATATTTCGTTAAAAAAAATGCTGAAAATTTTCTTCCGCAAACGTTCGTTTATATACTATCAACATTTCGCAATTAAAAAAGATATTTTAAAAATTCAAAGATATTTAAAAATTCTTAGAATATCTCGAATTTTGTGACACAAAGCAGTAATATAAGATCTTTCCGAATATCAATAAGAACGTTTATTTTTAAATCGATAGATATAAATAGATAAGCGGAAGAATATTATTTCTAGTAATTAAATATTATTTTTAGTATTTATTTTGTACATAAATGGTTAAGGTTTGAAAAAACAGCATTTCTAAATCTATGTTTATGTGACTTTCTCTTATTTTCATCCATATAATAAGCAGAATATGTTTTCAAACTTGTCTCGTTTTTTTATACTATTATTTCCTTGCCAGCTTGGTAGGAAGGAGACAGAAAACTGTATTCTGTCCTCTTGTACTATCCGAAGCTAGTCAAAGCGGCGAGCTCACATTCTCATTATCCTTTTCACGCCGTGTTGCATGTTACTTGCGGCGGAGATCTGGTAGCTTTTGTTACACAAGTTTTTCTTTAAAACAATTGTGTTCTCTTGTCTGGCGATGCCTCTTTAAGGTGCCATGCTGCGATGAATGTTTTTTTATTTCTATATGGTTAGATTAAAATAAAAAGAATTATACGTTTTTTAAATTATATTTTGTTTATTCTGTTACAATAAATGTTCAAAATGGCGATCTACAACCTCAATACAAACATTGCGCATCTACGGTGCATTTGCTGACGTACCCTTTGAAAAATTCCAGAATTATTGCGAATTGTATCGCATGCGTTCGTAATCCTGTAATGAGCTCATTTCGGGTATTAACAGAGGTTGCATATGACATTGTAACGGGGGCAAGAAATACGCAAGTGTAAATGTTCATTCAACCTGGCGCCAGGAGACATCGCCGGACACGGATTGCTTAACAAAAATTGTTTTATTTATCAAGATCTGTCACCCCTTCAAGTTTGTCCGAAAGCACCCTGTATATACAGGATCCGGCCAAATAACATATGTAAGCGAGTACAAGGTAATCCCTTATAAAAAAATAAGAAAAAAATATAGAATACAATTTTTTCATTTGAGGCTTTGTTTTCGAGAAATTCGAGTTTAAATATCCGTTCCGTTTAAATTACATTTTCATTAATTGTTTATTTTAAATTGTTATAAATTACAGTTATATAAATTTATACAATATCCAATTATACAAGTTATATAATTTTATACAGTATCCAGTTATACAAATTGTACAATTTTATACAGTAGCCAGTTATACAAGTTATACAAAAGTTATATAATTTTATACAACAAATTATACAATATGCAATATTTATAAACCATTGTTTTTATATAATCTCTTCTCTCTCTTTAAAAAAAATATTTAAAATCACATACATTTATATATCATCGATAATATTCCAATAATAATAACAGTTTTAAATGTTCTTACAAATAGATCCACTCTAAAATAAATACTTCTATTATATTTAAAAATTAATATCTTATGCAATCAAATAAGCAATTAATGTATCCAACAAATAAATAACAATAATGTTTCTTTTATTTTTACCTTTTACAATGTGCTTTAGCTGCTTTTAATCGATTCATATCTTCATGAAGAAGATATTTTTTGGTACCTATTATTGCATCCCTTCAAATAATAAAATAAATATTTAAAATTATTTTTAATGTAAATATTATTACATTAACAAAATTGTATAATATTATAAATCAATCTATTTTTCAGCAATTAAAAACTATATTTTTATTTCACGTTTTATTTTTATTTCATTTATTATCATAAATGAAATAAAAATATAAAGATATAAATCCAGTATGTGCTTAATTAATTTATCGTGCATTTGTTGCTCATTGAATATATTAAGTTGACTTATATAAAGGTAATTATTTAGCTTAGGAGGGCCATCTCGAATAACCTTGACTTTGACACATATTGTCAAAGTGATGGACCCTGAGTAACATTCAAAAGGTTTTAGTCGACGCTCATTGTTTATTTCAAAGTTATAAATAAAAGAAGTTAATGATATAAATAATGTGAAACGAGATATATTTGTAAAATTTCATGTGGGTTTGCGACTTTCCACATACACACACGCGCGCGTGCCGCCCTCCCGCCAGTAGGCAAGGTGGACCTTGCTTCATGTGGAAAGTCGCAAAGCCATGTGAAATTTTGCAAATATACATCTCGTTTCACATCATTTATATCATTAATTTCATTTGTTAACAATTTTTTAATAAGCGGCGACCTCCAATTATTTTATAAGCAAAAGTTACTTAGAATGATGTCTTTGACAACACACGAAGATCAAAGTCTCGGGGCAGAGGTCCGAATTGTATAAAATTATCATCTTTTGAAACTTTGAGATGGAGATAGGGACTAGACTATTTAAGTTCGGCTATTATATATATATATATATATATACATGAAATTACGCGGGAAAGTATCCTTGACAACATATGTCAAGGTCATCACCGTATAGACCGCAAATTGTTTAGTTTTACCAAAATTATTTTTCAAATTTTAATTTTTATGAAAGAGCAACTTGCTCAAAAATATAAGGTAGTATTAAATTATGATATACCATTAATAGAGAGCACTATTTAGTAAATATTTTTGAATTTTTATATATAATTTCTAATAAAAATAAAAGCCCAAAAACCATGTGCTGGATCAGCACATTCTAGCTTCTTTCTATTTAAGATAAAGAATATTTTTATATTTACCTAAAATACTTAGTCATATCAATATCAGAAAGATCTATCGAAAATATTTCTCGATCATCAGGTGGTATTAGAGACATCAAATTTCGACTATTTGTGTTATCAAATTTCCATTCGTTACACATAAAATGATGCAAAACATGATTGGCCACGTATGCTTTCCTTTGTAGTCCTAATATCCTATGTAGCATATTATAAGCATTAAGGTAAGATAATCGAAAAATGAATATTTTACTAGATATTTTATGGTTCTGTAAAATTAAGGAATGATTATTTTAAGCCTCATAACTTGAAATGTATTCAATGAAGAAATACTTTATTATAGAGTTTTGGAAAGCTCTCGAGATAAACTGCAAGAATAAGTAATAAAAAATAGGGGGTTCCGTTTAAAAAATTGAAGATGACCTTTACGTGATCTTCAAACGACTTTCTAATGTAAAATCAATGACACCATTTTATGGCTCCCTTAAAACTATGCAACTTTTGTTTAAAACATTTTCACCGAAACCGTCGTAGTTTCAAGATATTCAGCTGCATTACTTAAAATGATACCCTGTATATAACACGCGATTTACACTTTTAATAACTATATAATTTTTCAATTATTATTAAAATTGGAAATAATTGAAAACTATCACAAATTTAAAAATAATTATTTGAGAAATATGCAATTTTACATATTACAGTTATTCTTAAAAAAATTTTTTATATAAAAAGAATACGTGCAAAATAACATCTTGAATTGATAAAAGTAAAAAAAGAAAAATAAGTATATATATATATTTTTTTTTTATTCGCGGATGTTCTGCCGGGCGGCAGCTTCCGGCATTGCCGAGAAAACGGAACGATTCCGGGATGTATCGTTAAAATGTATTCGCATGTGTGTGTATGTAGCGACCAGCTGATCGCAGCGGGCGCCCCGCGTAAGCACCCGCGTCTGACGGTGAATCATGCCACCCTTATCTGCCTCTTGTATTCGACCCGTCATAAGTTAATTACTTCCTTTAGTAATTGAAAAATTCAAAAAGTTAATTCTAAGACGATTTTTCCTTTGCAAAATTTCCGACGCTTAGTCGGAAATTGACTCAAGAATGTGTAATTTCACTGACAATAGGATTATTTTAAATCACCCTGTATACATATTAGGGTGGTCCTTAACAGGGGTGTTTTCAAATTTCTATGCTCCCAGGGGCTCAAAAGCTTCCAAATCTATAAAAAAAAATTCCCTGAAAATTTGAGCTCTTAATATCAACTCTAAGATAGTCCGCATTCCAACCTAAGTTTCTTATGGAAATAACATGAGAAAAATTTCCTTCGTTATTTAGAATTTTATTATTCGGGAATAAATGGATCTATCATGATGATTCATACATATTTTTATGAAGAATTTAACGCTCTACAAAAAAGGTCTCTTATAGTTTTTCGCTAAATCTATTAGTTTAAAAGTTATTCGAGCTTAAAGTTTAATTTTTATATAACTATTAATATTATTAAGTATGATTATTAAGTAAATAATTATATATTACAAATATATTAAATATTTCTTGTAAAATTTTTATCTATGATCAAAATAAGCAAATGCCATGTTTATAATTTTCGTGGCATTATGGACTGACAAAACTTGTGAGTCACTTACGCCATCTATAATAGTATTTGTGTACTCAAATATTTCGACCTTTAAAAATATTTCTAAATCACTTAACCTCTAATTAAAATAACCAACCTGTGTGAGCTGTCAAAGAAAATATTTATTCATCATGACATCAAGAATAATTTTACGTCAAAATATTTATTTGATTGGTGATGTGGACACTCAAATTATCGGTAATAAATTGCCATCAAAATTACAAGTGCTAAAAGTTTTTTTTTATCATATACGTATTCTAAAATTAAAATTACGTGAAAGTGCTGAAATCTGTGCAGAAGAAGTTAAAGTATTTTGGCACAAAGCTCAGATACCAACTAAAAGAAAAGATCATTGCATAGATCAGTTATTAAAATTATATGAACAATATCAGCTTCTCCAAAAAAGTATGAACAGAGACTCAAATAAAATTAAAGAGGACGAATTTAAATCTTCATTGTTAAATTTATTCGACATTGCCCATGCGAATGCGGCACAAATGGTCAATGAAAATATAATGCATTTTTTGACTCAACAACGGAAAGACGGTAGAGTGGGCTATATAGCTAACATTGAGTCTGATGATAATGAACAAACCCAAAAAATGAAGGATGAACTACTACAGCTACGTCGTGAAAAATTGGAGAGAGAAAAAGCTCGATACGGTAAAATTGATTTTAAAATCATTTATAAAGTTGAATTTATTTATTAAAAATGATTGTATCTTAATTTCAATCACAAATTTTTATATTTATGACTTTTATGTTTATTAAATAGATGAATTTGTGGAATTTACATCGAGCAGCGAAGTGGAAGGAGTAAATCCATTAAGTCAAAAAACAATATCGTCTCAATCGTCTGCTTCAAATTTTTCCGATGAACTGGCAACTATTCAGCATCAAGAATCAACACAATCTCGTGGCACAATAAATATCGTAAATGATAAATTAGTAGCGGTCTTCGATCATTGTAAAATAAGCGACCGCAATGCTGTACGTTTGATTGTAGCTTTATGTTCATCATTAAATATTAACGTCAATCCATTAATAGTAAATCGATCATCAATTCGTCGAAGCAGAGAGAAAATACGTGAAGAGAAAGTTAAAGAAATCAAAGAACTTTTCAAAACTGAAGACTTGAATGCTAGTGTCCTACATTGGGATGGAAAAATTTTGAAAACTTCAAGTGGAGAAAATAAAGAACGACTACCAGTTGTATTAAGTTGTGGACAAATCGAAAAAATATTAGCGATCCCGATACTAGATGATGGTACAGGACAGTCTCAAGCTGATGCAATGTTTGACGCTGTTATTGATTGGGGTATTCCTGACTGTATTAAGGCTCTTTGCTGTGATACTACTGCTGCAAATCTAGGATCAAGTAAAGGAGCTGCAATTTTACTTGAACAGTTACTCGAAAAAAAACTCCTGTATTTGCCTTGCAGGCATCACATGTTTGAGCTTATTCTAAGGGATGTTTTTGAACTTAAAATACCTACAACTTCAGGTCCTGATGTACCTTTGTTTAAAAGATTCCGAGAGAATTGGACAGAAATTGATACAAGTCAATATTCTACTGGCATTGAAGACTCGTATGTGCAAGACAAAATACAGAATCATATTGAAAACATCAATGAATTTATCCAAAAGCAACTTGATTCTGAACAACCAAGAGAGGACTACAGAGAATTTTTGGAGCTTGTTCAGGTATTTATCGGTAAAGTTCCGTGCAGTGAAGTAAAATTTAGAAAACCGGGTGCATTCCATCACGCTAGATGGATGTCGAAGGCCATATATACTATCAAAATATATTTATTTCGTAAACAATTCAAAATAACCGTTAAATTAATCAAATCAATTTCTGAAATTTGTATTTTTATTGCTACAGTGTATATCAAAGCATGGTTTACTTGTCCTCTAGCCTCTGAAGCTCCAAATAATGATTTATCATTTTTAAAAGAACTTATTGATTATAAATTGACAGATGCTAAAATATCTAAAGTAGCATTAAAGAAATTTAGCAAGCATTTGTGGTATTTAAATCCAGAAACTGCAGCTATGGCGTTTTTTGACGAAAGAATATCACTAAACATTAAGAGCCAGATGGTAATTATGTTAAAAAGTATTGACAAAAGTTCAGAAAAATTGAAACGCTTTGAAATTAAAAACATTAGAGACGTATATAATTGGAGCATTGCTTCATTCATATCATCAAGATCACTCCAGTTTTTCGAACGATTTGGGATAAATACAGATTTTTTAAATTTAAATCCATCTGAGTGGTGTCGAAATGAAGATTACCAGAAGGGTTTGCTATTGGTAAGAAATTTGAAAGTTGTTAATGATATTGCTGAGCGTGCAGTGAAACTAATTGAAGAATACCATAGTATACTAAGCAAGGATCCAGAGCAACAACAATTTATAATTCAATTTCTATCAGAATATAAGCAATATTATGCTGATAGTCGAAAATCTACAATAATGAAAAATATGAAAATTGATTAAAGCTAAGTATCCAAATGGTATCATATTTCATCCGTTCTTTTATTTTATTATCTTGAAAATTAAATAACTATCTGTTTTATTTATTTCAAAATCACATATATTAATCACAATTCTACGGATAACATTATATTTGCTTATTTTGATCATAGATAAAAATTTTACAAGAAATATTTAATATATTTGTAATATATAATTATTTACTTAATAATCATACTTAATAATATTAATAGTTATATAAAAATTAAACTTTAAGCTCGAATAACTTTTAAACTAATAGATTTAGCGAAAAACTATAAGAGACCTTTTTTGTAGAGCGTTAAATTCTTCATAAAAATATGTATGAATCATCATGATAGATCCATTTATTCCCGAATAATAAAATTCTAAATAACGAAGGAAATTTTTCTCATGTTATTTCCATAAGAAACTTAGGTTGGAATGCGGACTATCTTAGAGTTGATATTAAGAGCTCAAATTTTCAGGGAATTTTTTTTTATAGATTTGGAAGCTTTTGAGCCCCTGGGAGCATAGAAATTTGAAAACACCCCTGTTAAGGACCACCCTAATACATATATATACAAAATAATTCAAAATAACCTTATTACACACATATATATATACATATATATATATATATATATATATATATATATATATATAAATACAGGGTGTATCTGAAATGATGCATTAAACTTTAGAAGCGTATTTTAAAGGTCAAAATAAGACTTTTTTTTCTTATGAATATGGAATATATCCGCAAATAAATCCCCCTCCGAGCTAAAATTCGACAATGTGTGAAATTGACCAATATCCGCAATGCAAATTTATTTATCTCTCAAGAAAGGGTGATAGGTAACATCAAAACCAACGTCAAATAATAATTTTCCTGAAATACAGCCAATTTTCGATTTTTCCCCCAAACTTTAGGGGCCTCTAAAAAAGTCGTATTTTAACCTCTAGAATACGCTCCTAAAGTTTAGTGCATCATTTCAGATATATCCTTTATACTAAATCGAAAGGAATTAGGCTCGTTATATATTAAATAACATGAT